GCATTGCTCTTGTCAAGGTCTGAAAGGAAGAGTGTATAGCTCTTATTAGGACTGTGAGGTCGTCTGCAAAAAGCATGACTGTGGGAAAAGAGATACATCTACCTGTCTCTTGCAATGAAAGTCTATCGAGGGGTCCTTTCGTAAGAAGCTTTCTATTGCCTCCATGACGAAAAGGAAAATTGGCGCTGCTAGTGGGTCGCCTTGCCTGACATATGTAGTCATTTTGTAAGTTTCTGATAGATGTCCGTTTACTTGTACCATTCCTCTTGCTTCAGCGTACAATACCCTTACCCATCTTCTGAAGCTTGGGCCTACTCCCATTCATTCCATGCTTAGTTGTAGGAAGTCCCAATTTACCTGGTCGTATGCCTTTTCAAAATCAAAGAAGAGTATGGCTGTTTGCAATCGCTTGTCCCTTATTAGCTTAGTGGCCTCGTTTAAACATACCACATTATCTAGTATCCATCTGTCTGGGATGAAACCTGTTTGATCTATGTGAAAGCATTTATCGGTTACGTCTTTTATACGATTGGCTAGTGTCTTTGCTAGTATCTTGTAGGCTACTGGTAGAAGAGTAATGGGTCTATAGTTCCTTATGTCCTCTCTGTCTCCTTTTTTGTACAGAAGGGTGACCACTCCGGTACTTACTTCTGCCCCTAGAGATCCTTTTTTATAGGCTTCCTGAAAAAAATTGAAAAGATCTTAACCCATTATATGCCAGTTTTCAACCCAAAATTCTTTGGTTAGTCCATCCCTTCCGGGGACTTTATTTGGTTGCATGCTCCTTAGGGCATCATATAATTTTTGTTTAGTGAGGTCTTTGTCTAGATATTTGGCCGCCTCTGGTTTTATGCTCACCTCCAAATGTCTCAGGAATTTGTCCCTTGCTCTTGTCACCTCTCCCTGGTCGAAATCTGCTGTTCTCGAAGTGTAGAGGTCTTGATAGAAGTTTGTGGCCACTTTGAGAATGCCCGTTTGGGTAGCTAGCACTGTGCCTTGATTGTTTCTCAGCCCTAGAATTTTGCTATTTCTGCAATTGAATTTAATTTTTTGAAAAAAATATTTCGACATTGTCTCATTGCTTTCCCAATCCTTCACTCTGGCTCTGATGGCTAAACCTTGTTTATTCCAGTCTGCCCATTTTTTGAGTTCTTCCCTCGCTTCTTCTAGTAATTCTACATAGATAGGAGATCCTAGGTTATCTGTTAAGTTGAATTTTGTTGCCTCTACTACTGCCTCTAGCATCTCTTGTCTTGCCTTCCTTTTCTTGGCCTCTGCTCTAGATGCCATACTCAGCCATCTACTCAGTTCTGAGATTGCTTTGGGTAGCATATTTATTATCCCTATGGTATCTACTTCTCGCTTGTGGGTTCCCCATATCTGTTTAACTCCTCTTTTGAAATGTTCAAGTGTTATTAAAGATTTGTTTAGTTTGAAGAAGTTTTTACCTGGTGTATTGTTGAGTGAGAAAGTTAATTGCAGCCCAATTTGGTTGCTGTGGTAAAAACCCCCATAATAAGGTAATTTGAATTTTTTTGTGCTTTTGACTGCTCCCTCTAGAGATTCAGAGATGAGGAAATAATCAATTCTAGAGAAGGAAGTTCTGCCTTGGGTAGTTTTCAGTATACAAGTGAAGTCCTTTGTGAGTGGGTTTAACATTTTGTACGGGTCTTTCAATGCTTTCTCTGTAAGGAATTCTAGCATTATGTGGGCTTCAGAGTCATCTAAGTTGTCCCTAGCATGTGATATTCTGTCGATGGATGGTTCTAGAGTGGCATTCCAATCTCCTGCTAGAATTAGGTGTCTATGACTAGGACACTCTTGCTTTATTGTTTCTAGAAAGATTCTTCTTTGGGCATTTGTGTTTGGGGCGTATGCATTGATGATGGACAATTCCTCCTCTCTAAAAGTGAGATATGTCCTTACCCATCTACCTTCTTGTTCATCCTTCGTGGCTCTTTCTATTGTTAAGAATTGTGATGCCTCTGATTTTTTGTGTATTAATGTTAGTACCCCTTAAAATTTCTTTTAATATATTCTGATGTTCTTCTGTTGAGGACAAATGCATTTCTTGCAAACATAAAATGCCCGGGGGTCTGTTGTCCATCCATCCTGTCATGTCGACAAAGCTGTACCATTTGGCCGGTGTAGATAATATGGTTGCTAATCCTCTTACATTCCATGATCTGATTTCCAATTCCCTTCTACTCCTGTTACTTGCCCTTGATGTGCTGGCTGCCGTAGTTCTTTGGCCCCCCCTTTCCTCCGACATTTGAACAGATTAGAGGTCTTTCCAGTTTTGTGCAGTTCTGAGGGTGGGTAGTTGCAGTGGTTCCTGGCTCCAATCTTCATCTCCCACTTCTCACCATCTCTCAGTCAACAACCTGTCAGTCTACCAGTAGCGTAGCCTGCAATGAACTTGCAGATTCCCACCCCGTTGTAAAAGCTGGTATGTCTCTCTCAAACACCCCGCCAGTTGGCAAAGTCACCCTCCTATGCAAAATCAATCAGTGCAACGAAGAGTAATACCGGACCATAATACCAGCCTTAAACCACCAGTACTTTTCCCATATGTCGGCCGCGGGCACTGCACGGCGGCCCGAACATCGAGAGAGGCCGCCGATTCGATTTATCGGCTGCCGCCCTTCCATTTCACGCCAGCGCATTACCTGGCATGCCTCTGAAAAAATAGATGGGAAAGGTACTGGTGGTTTATGAAGCAAAGCGCTATCTCATCACACGCAATCATGACCAGGTAAGTTCAGGTAAGTGTTGCATACTCGTGAAACACAGTCATAAGTATGGCGCAGATTCCCAGAACCGACCAGATAATACAGAGTTTATACAAATGCAAGCGGAAGACTTGAGATACCTTGGACTGACTCAGACCTGACTCGGGCTGCAATCGAACACTCTCAAACATTCATCAGGGGTGTGAATGCCCTGGCCTTAGACATAGACGAAAGGCCAGGGGCTGAGATCATCCACAGATGAAAGGGGAGAGGGAGAGACGAAAGGAGGAGGAGAGGGGAAGATGACGTCAACTCAATGTCTCCAAAGATAGTATCTTGAAATGTCAGAAATGACGAAAATCCGAAATGTCGCGAATGCCAAGTCTCACAATGTTTCAGATATCGATCTCACAATGTCAAGCACATCTCCGGAAGGAAGATGAAATCAGACCCCCAAATAGTCCTCAACTTGTAGTCCCAATGTCGCTGTTCCAGATGTCATCAGAACTCGTAACCATCTCCAATACTGTAGTAGTCCTGTAGGAGAAGTAGAAGTAGATTTGGACTGAGAAGGTAGGAGGAGAGAGAGAGAGAGAGGGAGAGAGAGAGGAGCGGTAGAGGAGAGGAGGGAGAGAAGGCGAAGCCTTCCTCCCTGGTACCTGGCTATGGTGCTGCAAAGGGAGGCTGGGCCGGTAACTGACGAGGCGCCCAGTGCTGCGCTAATCCGCTCTCCGCTGAACCTCACTCTCTCGTTGCTCCTCGCTGCTGCAGCGCTGCGCTAATCGAGCTAACGCTGGCTGCTGCGCTAATCCTGAAGACTAACCTCGTCCATACTAACCTCCCTACTGAGGCTGGTGCCCAGCCTTTTGTAGTGCTGGGCCGGCCTCTTGCCTCCTGGTACCTACCGGCCTGGACCGTTGATCTGAATCAACGGTCCAGATTCAAACTGGGTTTGGCGCCAAAATGTGGCAGCCTCTGAAACGCCGCCGGTTGGTCCTGGGCTGGAACGGTACCGGCCTCTGGCCGTTTGGGCCTAAACGTGCCCTGCCTCAGGCCTATCTGGGCCTGGTCTGAACCGTCGTCCCTTGATGGTCGATCAGAGCCTCTGATGAGAGAGAGAGAGAGAGAGAGAGAGAGAGAG